TTGGCCGGGCGGCGCAGTGCATTGTGGGATGTGCCACGGTCGAACAGACCGCGGACATCCCGTAATGTTCGGCGTTCAGCGAACGCTAGAACATGCTATGTTCGAGTCGAACCTATGTTCGACTCGAACATGCAGCCCATCCTTATTATAAAGTTTAATTCAGGTACTTGCATTTACAAAAATACATGTAATGGTGTATTATTAGATTACAGAGCTGCATTATTTTACATCTGCCTGGAATTCAGATTATTTATCAGATTTGAGGACAGAGCCAGTATGAGTCCTTCTGGAAATATAACCTGATCTGTGGACATCTTTTAACTCAGTATTTCATTTTCAAACCTAGAGTATAGCCACATATATAGTAATCATTACCACTAGTTTCATCTGTTCAAAATCATTTGAACATGGAAATATATGCAACAATTCATACTTCATTATGAATAAGAAACGTGCATAACAGTTATTAGAACTTTACTATTCATACATCTGTTCTTCATTATGTTTTTCTGAGACAAGCACTCTGTTACACAGTATGTGTTTCAGTCTTAATTTTCTCGAATTCATTAAAATGCTTTCCTCTGAGTGATTTAAAAATGATTAAATGTTGGGTTTTTTTCATTGGCAATGGAAATATGCAAAACAAATATTTTTATATTTATGTATTCATACTCTTGACTGTCGCTGCTCATCACTGGTTTTTCCAGGACAAGTCAAGATTTTAGATTCTATGAAAGTGTGTGATGGGGGAAACCCTCCATCTTTCAGACAGAAGTTTGAAAACCCCTTTAGGAGAAAAGAAGCTCTCCTTTATAAATGTCAACTGAATTGAACCACCCATGACTGAATGTTTGTCATCTATTACAAGCTCAGCAAAATATATAATATATACTAACAACTCCAGGGCAAATAGAAAGCAAAACATGGCAGTCAAGACTGCTCTTAAATTCCATTCACATGGCAAGGTCTTTTATCAGTCCATCACAAAGTCTACCATGCATTAAGTGCCATTCACTTGGCTAATCATTAACATACTATGACAGTCAAGCTGGATCTGTCAAACCTTCAGAATATAATCAAAAGCAATTTAACATGTTAAATTAGCAACAAACACATGTAGTCTACAAAAAAAAAACATAGATTGTGCTTTTTATTACTACTAACAGTAATATTTTATTAGTTGTCATATATATTAATGCCTTGTGGCCTATTGCTTTTTTTTCCAAGTAGCATATAGATTTAAATAGCATATTTCCAAACTTTATATATTACAACAGTAAGTAATCATATACAATATATTTATTTGTAAATCAAATATGTTTATATATCATTTATTGCCATGTATGCCCCCAGGACCCCTCATAAATTGTTTAAAATACACAGAAAATGCAATTGCTACAAATGCCTATAGTTAAATGATGCCTATGAGGTGTACAAACACGATATAAATGAATTGTCTCTTCTTCTACAATTTACAACAGCCCGTGACTAGGAATGAGCTTCGGGTTTGCACCAAATTTTATTTGGTTCGAATCTTGCCTGCTCAGGAAATTGGTGAACTAAATGGGGTGTTTGTCCACCTGTCGAGCCGAACCTTAGCCCAGGGGATTTGCTACATTCGCCAGCAGTATAATTACCTCTGTTGATAGAGGGAGCAAGACTTCAATGCGACTGGACATAGTTTGAACAGGCCATGGGTGGCCCAGCCAAAATGGGGATCTACAACCTAGAGGTTTTTGCAGACAAGCAGTGCAGGGCCTACAGGTATGCAATGGGAAAGTAGCAGCTTTTTTAAACATTTGAACAGTGCTATGCATTGTGCTGTGGGTGATGGAAAGCATGGGAGATTTGTTTGGGAAAGCGTGCAGAAAGGTGAAACCCTTTGACTCCCATTGACTTCACTGGGGTTAGGATTTACATTCAGAACTTAGGAGCAGTTCAGCTACCCTCCCTCGAACCAAACCCAGGTACATTAAGCTAATTCCTAGTGCTGACAAGATCTAGGTTGGGTAGCATATGTGCTACAAACAATCGTGAAATATACTGTAGCTTTGGAACACTTAAGTCGATATAAAATATTCTGTGGATATGGTGGATATTTTTATAGTACTCCCCTTAATTCCCTGATGTTTGAAATTAATGGTTTTGCTTTTCACACACAGTTACATAGTTACATAGTATTTGAGGTTGAATAAAGACATAAGTCCATCAAGTCCAACCTATCAAGACCTTATATAGGAACACTACAATAAGCCCTATAGTTGATTAGCATGTCAGACATAAAGCAGATTGTTTGATGATCGTATTTACAATGTTTCAGTATTCTAATAGCAGAGCAGAAGTCTGCAATTTCAAGGAACCCTGTCATGCTAGACATATACCTGTGTCAACTTTGTTTAGAAATGAAGGCCTTAATTACTTGGCAAGTCACTGCCTTATAAAAAGTATACAAATTTGGAGTTATTGGTACCTCCACTGCTATTGATCTTACATTCAAAATAGATAAAGCTCATTTCTGGAAAAACTGAAACATGTTTTCCCTGAGGTTGTTTTTTTACATACATCTGGAGTACTTGACCCATTTTCTTAACCCCTGGGATGATTTTCTCTATGCTGGGGGAGGGACCTAACGAGGACACGTATGTTACTTTCAAATGATGTAAGTCCTCCCCACCCCATTACTACAGTTCCTATACTGTATGGTCTGTGGGTAGGCTCAGGGGACTCCAGTCGACGACAGGCAGTGCAGGAGATGGTTTGCTATGTTGACAACTACAACTACATGATTATGAAGCACTGTACTCCTAACAGCTGCACAATGTGACAATGCTACTATGATTTCACTGCTGAAGCATTAGCCTGTTTCAAGATGTTGTTTTACTGGCAGGATCACCAGATATTTTATTTACGACTAAAAGAGTAAAGTGACTTAATAATATCTGAGAAAGACTGTCTGAAGCATATTTTTTAAATGATTGCCTACATTTTGACTTTAACTAGGGCTGAGTAGTAAAAACAATGTGTATGACTGGCACAATTCTGTTGGCATAATACTCACAACCTTTATTTAAAACACCAGCTGGTATCTGCCTAGCAAGAGGGCTGTGCCCATATATACTCTTCAAAATCAGCATGGCCCTTCAAAGGTAGGGGGATCCTTATTATTGGAATATACACATTTGGTCGGCTATTTATGAAAAAAAAAAAACTGTTCCCACATGGTATATATAGAAAACAATTGTTAAAAATGTCTTAAGCTGTAGCATTAACAGTGCCCTTCACTGTAAGCCCCCGGAATGCATAATTTGGGGATATGTTCACAATGTTTGTCTATGACAAACATCATTCTGCTGGGTTTTTTTTTAGACCAGACCAGCTTTTCCATTACTTTATTTTGTGAGGCTTACGCTAGTGTTTACAACTGTACCCAGTTTGCCAGTGAGCAAATATATCTCCCATTAAAAAGCATGTCCTCCTGCAACAGCTCCAGGCTATAAACAGCAAGTAAATCAATTTAACAAAGTAATTAAAAGCACGTAATAAATGTAGCGTTCCAACAGAACACAGAATGGCTCCCGTACAACATCAGCTTTATTTTACCATTTCTGCTGCTACTAAATTCAATTTATCTGCTCATCTTCCTGTGCTGCTGCTGCTAGTGAGTACCAATAATTCCTTATAAGACAAACACAGTATGCCTCTGCAGTGCAGCACACAACCTTCCGTTTATTGATCTGTAGCTAATATTTCTTTAAAAAGCCATTAAAAGAGAACCAGGTTGGGTAGCTGGTCATTAATCCTTTTTTTCCTTTCCTTTTTTTTGCAGGAAGTTATTTTAAATGCAAAAGAGTACAATTGCTTTGAAAAATACTGAGTTGAGTTAGATTTTTTAGGAGCTTAAATTCTATCAAATAAGTACAGTACACATTAATTTAACTAAGCCACATAAAGTATTTAGGATCAACAAGCTGTCAGCTGTAACCACTTGTGTGATAAGAAGCAAAGTGGCCTTTGTTCAAGTTTTTTAGGACATTTACACAAATAGATAACTTTATGTAACTAATATGTAGGTGCTATGTGGGAAAATAAAATGGTAGGTACACTCTCATAGTCAGAATGAAGTACCTTATTGTCCCAGACTGCAGTTTAATTTATGTTTGTATTGCTCAGAGAGTGCTCTAGGGGCCAATAGCTGTAAAGATAATTGATTTCTATAGTGCTTGCAGGTGCCTGTTCCCTATTTCCCTTTGAACTCTGTTCAGCACACAATATGTTAAACAGAGGATATGTAATGGCACCTAAAATGACCAAAGAGAAAAATCTCTACAGTGATTCAGCTTACATAGTAGATAAGGTTGAATCGAGTTCAACCTATGAACTCATGAATATATCACAATATGGGGCATCAGGAAATGCACCCAACCAACAAACTACCCTATATCTAAAAAAATGATTAGGCAATTTTAGTAATACAAAGCCTCGTACAAAATTCATTAGTAGCCTATCACAAATAAGCTTTTAATTAATCTGGCCACTCTGTTGGAAGCTAGATTTTTTTTGTAATAATTGTCTCTACACACTACTATTCTTTGCACTGTGTAAGCCTAGTGCTTATATCTGAGCTGAATTACAGTAGCATATTTGCTGCCATCTAGCAGTGATACAATGTCAAACCTCACAACTATATTATTACCTCCGGCGTCAATTTTTAATCTCCCAAATATTATACAGCCAGCACGCTGGAGCCAACTGATTCAGAAATGAACCAGATTTTGACTACAGCTAATTAGAAATGTTTTAGAGGGTTTCATTTTAATTAGTAGTTATGTCTGGCTGGGCAGTGTAAAATAAGTTCCTATGTTGAATTATGTGAAACAGTATAATTTAGCAATGTCAATGGAAAACTGTGTTGCTGTTATCCACATCAATTGCATGCAAAAATAAAATAAGCCAGTTGAGCTTTCTTAAGAACTTTGTAGAAAATGATCAGTTACAGTTACCCTTTAAGATGAACAGTGCTTAGTCTAGTTCAATATTCTCTTGCGCAAACATCTTAGTATGTTGAATCTGATCCCTAGATTCTTCAGAGATGTCAGAAGGGAATGGAGAATTGATTTTCAGTGGCAGACACAGGCACATCCTATCCAAACAGAAATAGTGATACTTTCTAGATGAATTAATTCCCAGAGCACTATTATGTTATTGTAATACTCTGCTATATTCTTACCCATGAATGAGCTTTGAAGTTAACCACATATCAGGATATGGTCCTGGCAGCTAGTTTTATGTAAACAATTCATGGACACCAACATTGTACACCAGCTGCTGTATTTGAATTCCTCAGTAAGGTTATGATGACCATGAGAAAGTTCACAAAGGACTAACTTTTTCATATTTTCCTTTTATAGTCAAAGTACAATGTTTATGATTTGTTTAGTGATCCCTTCATAGTGTAACCCATGATAGAGAAATATTAGTCTGGTAAGTCTTCTGTAGGCCTGACCATTGAAGTCAGTTGTACCGTTGCAATTACTTTATGATGGCAGATAAATGTAAATGTTGATTTTTCCTGCAAAACCCGAGTTTGGCTCTGCCCATTCATCCCTATTGGTCATTGAAGATACCCATCAAGTTAAAACACACATAAAATTACTCAGGAGGTGGGATGTGCACAGGAAAATTCAAAAGTTGCATGCAAATTAGTTGTCTACATCTACTGATCATCTCGACATGCTGGTTTTATCAACGGTAACCTCTGCTCATGTATCTCTTCAATATATGCTCAATGTGTATTTCCCAGAATTGTGGCAGATTTACTTTAACAAAGTAATAATTCTATGTCTATATTTTATTCTGAAACCTGCTGTTTTTCCTAAGCTGTGTGTGAGACTCGTTGTGTTTGGATCAGTGACTGTAATGTCTGACACGAAGGGGTTACAATATGTAGGCTTAGACACCTAAAGGTAAACAAAACCTGAGTGGAAATGTATTTTTTTTCTCTAATAGACAAATCATCACATATTGCAGTGTATGTGTTCTGCATAGCAGGGTTTCTGCCTATAGCCAGTGAGCTTGCTTATAAATAACCTAACTTTCTTACATGTGACTAGAATATTAGCTTTGTGAGCAAATTTCCACGGTTTAGATCCCAAAAATATGATTAATATTATTATACAGGATTTACAGCACCAACAGTTAGCAACATATGGGAAGACAGCCCAAGCACAATACCATACAAAAGGATTAGAGGACCCTGCTTGTGAGAGCTTACAACCTAAAAGGAGGGGCAAGTGATAAAGAAGGTGATAACTGTTGGGTATGAGCTGATTGAAGGAGTAGATGTCCTGTTTTTAAGAGGAAGTGGAATAGGCTATCCTGAAGAGGTGAATTTTCAGGGAATGCTTAATGGCAGACAGATTAGGAGATAGCCACATAGGTCATGGTAGGGATTTACAGAGGATGGGCGAAGACCTGGAGAAGTCCTAGAGGCGAGCATGGGGGAGTTTACTACTGGTACCCAGTAGATAATCATCACCCAATCCTGTTAACTACTACTGTTATTGGGCACCTATAGACCTCTGCAGATGTCCATTGAAGTCCATATTGGCCATATTGGATTTTCCTAGTCAATAGCTATTGTTTCTGTGAGACAACAATGACTGCACTTGCAAGCACCCTTGTGTAATATAAGTGTGCCTGTCTATGTGGTTATCTGTAAAAAAATAAAGATCCTTCAAAGAGTGGATTGTGCATGCAAGTCCATCTGCCACATAATATCTATTGTCACCTTTAGCTGGGAAAACAACATTTGAAGATCATTCCCCTGCTGTTTGTTAGCTCAATTGGTCAGTTAGGTGAAAACCTTCTAAACTGACTAATATCTCTGTCTCCAAAAAAACTATAAAACCAACAATGCTGTCCATGTTAGTTTTATTGTATCACATTTATCATCAAATATTTTACAAGAGCAATTGGCAGTGGTGTTAAAAGCCGCTAGGCATCTAATTAGATCCTGCTGGGCACAGCAGATTTTATTGATATCAAATAAGGCACATTTACAGTACCTGAGAACCAGTGCTTTGTATAACGTCCCCAGGCTAGTGTTCTTCAGGGAGATACACTATTTAAGTGCGGTTCTGATAGCCTGTGGTATGAAAATAGTTTTATGACAGTGTTTGTAAGCACAATATGGCCACTAAATAAAGTAGTAGAATCTGTAGTGTAGTGAGCACTCTGTGCTACCATAGACAGGGAGGATAAAGGATGATGTAATGTAACCGTGACAAGGCTGCATCCACATGCAGAATATACTCCTAAATCAACGCACTTAAAGTGATATTAAAGTCAAAAGGATTTTGAGTTATGTCACTTAAATTAATGCTGCTTCTTTAAGTTTAGAATTTTAGTTTCCTGCAGAATCCGATGGACCCCTTGACTGCTGGTCCTTACTATGTGTTTTAGTGTGACTCCTTTCTCAAGCAGAGTGCTATGCAGTCACCCTTGTGTGCGCTAAATCAAGCAAAATCAAGCTACTCCCCTCCCCCCAGGCCCCCTCTTCTCCCTCCTCTGTTCTCCAAGCTAGTAGATGAACAGCTGCTGGAGGGACTTGGAAGTAGCTGTTCAGAAACATGATGATTGTAAGTATTTGGGCAATGTATATTTGTTTGATCAGGATTCATTTTTGAAAAAGTTTGAGAGTTAACAGCATCAGATTAACAGCATCAGATAGCTACAACTGCGGATGTAGAAAGTTTTGTATGAAAGGAGCTTACAAAAAAATGTTGTGCTGTAAATAGAAACCAATCAGCCTCCAACTGTTATTTTGCAGTGTAGAACTGAACATAAAAGAAGGATTTGTATTGGTGCGATGGGCAACAAGACATTATTTTGTTAGCACATGTTCCCTACATAAGCCCTTTAATGTAACCATAATAAATTCTAGGCCAAAAGTTTTATACTATTAATATACTGTATGTAAAAATATTATTTTGGGGGCGAAAGAAGGAATGTGCGATGTTAATTACATATAGAAAACAAGGGGAAACTATTTTTCAAAGGACAATGTTGCACACCTAAAGGTACATTTATAAATTATAAACAATTGTGTGTATTCTGCATCTCTGCTATTGAATAAAATATTGTATGTGTATTCAGCTCTATGTGAATTCTAAGAACCTTTAATTTCACTGTAGAGACACATCATTTACACTTTATAACATATCTAAGATAATGATGTAAACGTACAGTGAAATAATGAAAAATGTAGCAAAAGTAATAAATCAAGCCAGCATAACACCATAACTATCATATACACTGGCATTATGTATATGGCCATAAATCCAAAATATCCATTCTTCTCTTTTTATGACAAGGGAATAGTATTGTGAACATACCTTTAGCAAATGAAAAACACTTTCCACTGTCAACTGAATTTAGTAGTCTTTATGACGGAGATAAAGTGGGACGAGTTACTCCTCTATGTAAAGGGTGAGTGAAATACGGGTCCGCTTTTTTTCACACTGAAAATCTATTCAATAAACTTGGTTTTTGACAAACATCAAAGCAAAAGCCTCTGAGCAATGTAAAACATTCACATGCCTGATTCACAGTATGCAGAATTAGTACTAAAGGACCTAACTGACAATCCATATTCTTCAAAAGATATTTGTAAAAGGTCACAGAAATGCTGCATACTTTTAATGATGATTACTCAGAGAGAAGAAAGATGCCAAAGCACCCTACTGAACATCTATCTATTCTTGGCACAATAAAAAAAACATAAACTGCACAATAATTAGAATATCGTGCAAAAGTAATTGCAGTAAGTGCTGCAAAAGGGGCCCAAACCAATTACTGAGTACATATGCATGCTTGTACTTTGTATATACTGTACATATATACATTAAAGTATGCTATAGGCAAGTAAGTATTTGACATTTTGCACAATAAAGTAGTTGACTGACCAGAGAGGGATCACTTTGATTTAGATGGCCAATAATCCCTGTTTTTATTTAAAAACCTTTCTTGCAATATCAAAGTGTGTATAGCAGAGGGTTAATTCAGAATCTTCTGTACAGTATTAACATGTGATCACACCCCTTTAGCATATCATGCATTATAAATATGAAAGTTATTTGTGTTTAAGCATAGACATATCTCCATTTTTATGGAATGGAATGCAAAAGTCTAACTACTTGTGGGCTTGGCAGCAGATGGCATTTTCATTATAGTATATGGGAGAAAGAGATTTAGCATTTGTCTGGAAGACACACTGATCTCACATCTGTGCTGGGGGAATATTATTTAAATGGTGCTTGTCATTAGGGATGAGCTTCGCGTTCGAGTCGAACCTATGTTCGACTCGAACATAGCATGTTCGAGCGTTCGCCGAACACCGAACATTATGGGATGTCCTTACTCTGTATAACAATACAGAACACAACACAAATGCATCATACAGTATACGTTACAATTCAGATACATCATGTAAGTAGAATTTATAACACCTTGAATGAATATAACTGCTTATTTACTTCTTAAATGCTTCAAAAAAGGACTGTCACTTTTTGTGATGAATTATAACTGTGTCAAGCTGTGTCAAATGTTGAATTGCAGGGCAAGATCATCACATGTATTATACTCAGAATTATAATATCACTGAGCAAACATATATTTAAAATGGATTTAAAATTAAATGTATTTTTTGTAGCAGCAAAGTTAAAAGGTACACTCTAGTCAATCTTAAAATTAAACTTTGAGATGCATACAGGGATCTCAGTCTTTCTAGTCAGTACTTCATCTTTCATGCAGACGTTGCTTTTGTAAACTAGTGCAGCCTGCTTCCTTTTGGCGGTGTAGGTGATCCCCTGCTTGGGCTACAGGAGAGCTGTTCCCAAATACACCCACTGCAGGTTCCTCACTGTCTCACACTGATATAAAAAACTATCAGTACTAAGAACTTCTGCATTGTTACCTATTAGATCCAAACCTGATAAACAGGTGTTCTCTGGCTTGAGGCTCCTTGTGCTGAGAACTGGCGTGAATGCTATAGATGACCAGAACAAATAAAGTATCCACTGCACTAAACCTTCCTAACACTTAAACCTCCTCTACCCACCCTACTATATAACCCCTAAAATT